ACTACATTCACAGATTTTTTTAAAATAGCCCGCTACAACTGGGAATCGAACACGTGACATTGCAAAAAAAACACGACATATTTTTTGATAACCTTCGAAGGGGTTAATCATATGGATTTATTTTTTGCATAACATAGCATTTTATATGAAAGAAAAGTAACTAAATTTAACATTTTATTTAAAATTATTAACACAAACTAATATAAAATCGGATATGCCTCAAAGTAAGTAAAATGTTGAGTTCATCATCGTTGAGGTTTATCATCTGCTGCTGTGGTTTCTGTAAGAGCATATCAAAACTATTATTATTTTTATGATTTTATTTATTTTTTAAGCATTTAAATCTAAAGAATTATTATTTTTATAAATTTCAGCCAATCGCATTGTAACTGTGAGTGCTAAAAGAAATGCATACGTACTACAGTTTGTATATCATTTTATTATTTTTATCACATAATAAGACATTCCTTTTATTTAAAATGCTATGTTATTTAGCAAAAAATAGTCCTTATGATTAATCCTTTCAATGGTTATCATAAAATATGTTGTGTTTTATTTTTCGAAATTTCACGAGTTTGACTCCCAGTTGTAGCATGCGATTTTAAAAAAATCTGTGAATGCAGTTCCATTTATTATTAAAAATACAATGATGTCTTCTTTCAGTAAAATATCTTATCTTCAATATTTAATATACTTTCCCTCCGTGTGAGGTAGCCGTGGGACGCCCTGTACACTAGTGCAAATCTACCTACGCGCCGATCAGTACGGCAGCGGCGCAATTTTGTAAAAGGGCTCTTAAGGTGATATCAAGGCACCACTGTTTATCACGGCTACTAATATCAATGATAATGTTGTATTTAAATATAAAAATAATAAAGATAAAATCAACATCACTTTATTTACAATACTGATACAAAGCGTATTTTTGTATTGCAGTCATCATTTTATGTCTTAAAATTTTGTAATAAAAAAAGAAAACTATAAACCTTAATATAAATCAAAATACCTATGTCTATAAATAAAAATAACAGTTGGCTAGATTAAAGAAAAATTGATAGAATAAATAAAAAAGATATGTAGTATAAAACACCGCCCTAATCCATATTTAATTTAGAAATTTGACAATAATATCTCTATTTAATAATATATATTATTTTCTTTACAAGGATTCTTTTATAAGGGATTTTTATAATAACCAAAGAATGTTCAAGTTTTTCGAAATCAGCCTCACAAACTTTGAAGAGTTTAAATTCAATTAAATGTGCAAGTTCTCCCATTTCGGTGCTGAAAAATATATTGCTTAGGAAATTTAAAAATAGTGGAAGCTTTTTTTTAACATGACATATCATGAAATGCTAAAACAAGCTCAGTGAACACACAAATAATTAAGAAAAACCACCTAATGGTGTGATTTTATAAGCTTTTGAAATTAGTTTGTAACTTTTTCGTTAAGTACCCACGCATCGATACCGCATTTCTTTTTAAAAACTCAAATTGATTTAACGCTGTTGTTTAATTGACAGACATGTGACGTAAATATAAGAAACTCTTCAGAAATGGGGGTAAATCATGTTGTTAAAAAATAAAGCTTCTCAATTCAGAGGATTTTTTAACAGGTCCATAATCGTATCGTCATTAAATTTCGTATCGAAGAAGCCAGTTTGTTATTTTGGGGGGGGGGGGGGGGGGGGGGCTGCTTAGTTTTCTATAGGGACTTTGACGACGCGATACAATTATGGAAGTTACAATAGAATTCGTGCTTTGACCTCAGATCCTCAAATACGTCGTCATGTCTAGAGGCGCTGACAGGATTTTCTAATATTGAAAAACACTAGCACTGAAATATATAATTTTTTACAAGGCTTACTAAACGCAAATATCTTTAGAATAATATTTACACGCTAACAGTACCTACTTATGTATTTACATTTGTCAATTTATTATTTATTACCACAATAGAGGAATACCATAAAACACTGAAGAATGAATAGAAAGTCTTAAAGACACACCCGATAAACCAGTTAATATAAAAAGAATTTTAAATCTTAAAATATTTTTACACTTACTTATAAAAAAGTATTTTGAAAACTTCACTTTCTCTTAAAGTACCTATTTATGACTTACAAAGTCATTTAGCAATCCACCAATGTCAATTCCTTGTTATATATTTTTTTAATATCATTGTCATATTACTTCTGGGTTCTGCCCAAAAAAAAATCAAATATTTGGTCCTTATCTTGAAAGTATATGACTCTATCCCACCTGAAATCTTAAAGTATCTCCAAGGATCTCGATGTCTCAAACCCTGTAACGCTGTAAAAGTCGTCGCCGACAAACAGCAAATACAATCCCAATAAAACCATTTCAAATGCGACTTAGAACAAACAGCTTCACAATTCAAGGCGGTGCAGCCGATACATTGTTGGGAACAGTTTCTGAGACATCGTCCGCAGAATCTGATTCGTTCTCTTTAGAGGAGGACTCTGCTGGTTCATCCCGCATGAGCGCTCGGTACTTGTTGGCGATGATCTCCCAGTCTACCACGTTCTCGATCCTCGTTGTGTTGTTGAAGCTCATCTGAGAGCCTAGAGGACTGAGGTGCACCACCGAAAGCCGTGTCGAGTCTGAAATGAGGAGTTATGTTAGTTGTACATACAAATAGAAGGAAAGCTGTCTTTATTTGGAAGTAAACCGTTGGTGGTCGAGTAAAATACAAAGCCGAGTTAGTCAATATTATTGGCAACTATAGAGCCTTCTCTTGGCCTACCACGAACCGGGATTCAGCGTGAATATAGAAAGATAGATACAGCATCTTTTACTATCAAAAAAGGATAAGTTTGTGTTTACGCCATGCAGTTCGCTGATATTCTCGTCAATTGTGAAATAGAGGAACCAAATTCGTATTACGAAATTATTCATTGACATGGATTAGGATTGAGTTTTACATAAGTTTTTATTTCATAATAAGGGTAGATATACAAATTAAATAAAAGTTTGATTCTGACGACGTAGCCTGTAAAGGCTACGAAACGTCAATAAATAAATAAAGTTTCGTGCATTAACCCGTAAAAACTAGTTTTATTTAATGAGTGATGTGCGTGAAAACCTAAGAAACAAATAGATATACCTACCTACCTAATATAGTCTTTGTTTAGACTGATCCCAAAGTTTATATCAGAAGAAATTGCGTGAACGAAGCCAGAAATAAAGATCACATCTTCGTCTTCGATTGAGACCGTAAGTTAATACAAACTTTATAGGGCAATGCCTCGCACTAGGAGTACTAGTCGACAGTAATTATTTTTTTGAGATACTGAGTGATTGTAAAATATGATATATTTTACCTTTGGGTACAACTTGAGCTCGCTTGACTTTGGACAGCCACTTCGCACCAGCCTTAGAGCGGGCGCTCATCTGATCCGGGCGTTGCAACCCTATCATGTGCACTAGACTCGGCCTCTTCTTCTTACTCATACGGTCCTATGGATTAAATTCAATGGGATTTTATATTTTGACCACGTCCCTTGTATATATCTATCTAATGAATCAACAGTCGTAGCACCGCTATAAGTGTTATTATTGGTGGGGTCTATTGTATGAAATTAGTAGGTAATGAATTACAGTTTACCGTCGCTTACAATAAGTTTCAAAACGATGCCATAAGCTGTAATAACTGAATTCTTATCATGAACTCTTTCAATAGAGATTTTACTTTTGTTTTGGCGGAGTTCTTGAATTGTAATAAGTGCAATATATTTTAAAATACTTTTTGGTACTTTTTTGTAGCATGGATACAGATACAGCGGGATGCCGTTGTAAAGTGCAAATATTGTAGTTTCATAATGACTGACAACATAATGAATTTATGACACAGTATCTAGGTTGGCTACTTGGTGTATTCTAGATCTTTTGACCACGCTTTTGACTTCCAGATCAGAATAGCGCGTGCACCTAGTGTATGTAGCGTATGGACGTGAACCTCCAGAAATGGAAATATCTTAGTCTAATGTACCTATTGAACCGTTGAAATTAGGCCCATGTAAAGTCGACATTGCTATCTAATGCTCAGCATATGGTTTATTGATCATCATCATCATCATCAGCCTATTAATGTCCCCACTGCTGGGGCACAGGCCTTCTCTATGGATGGAATAGGGAGATTGGGCCATGACCCACCACGCGGGCCCAGTGCGGATTGGTGGGTGCTAACGACTGCAGATGCAGCCGGGACCAACGGCTTAACGTGCCTTCCGAAGTACGGAGGAGCTCGAGATACTAATTATTGGTCACCCATCCAATGACCGACCACTGCGAAAGTTGCTAAAGTTCAATGATCGCAGCCGAACGCGCTAACCACTTGCGCCATTGAGCTCCTCATGATGGTTTATTGATGATGACAATGAAAGTCATAATTGGTCTCTGTTTACCTTGCATTTGGCAATGAGCCACATTAACCATGTGGTGACGAGATTCAACGGCGACGGAGCGGTGTTAGTCCGATGCATGTTACGGATCAGCTTAGAGAGGCCGTACTTCCATTCGATGTCAGATTGAGCCTAAAACACAGTGATTAACGTAATTTGTTACTGGAATTGTACAATTATTGAATTTCTAAAACGTGTTTTAATTTTATTAAACGTATTTTTAGCTTCTTTTAGTTTTAGTGGTTAAATAATGTTTTATTTACATCACAATAATTTTAAAGGAATTGGTGAAAAAAAATACAAAAGCATCAATAATTAGATCTATACAATTTTAATTTAAGTAAAATAAATTGACTAATGTGTATCATTTAGACTTGTGGATGTAAAAGGAGATAACAAAAATACTTAAGAATAAAAAAAACGATTGACTAAAATAGGAACACATAATAATTTTTATTTTTTAAGCATGTAATTGCTTGATGTTTAAATGTAAAGAAAATATAACTAGAAAAAAATCCACATTATTACTATACCTAGTAGCGTTAAATTTTGAACTATCTCCTTTGTATTAAGTTTATTAGTACCCGGACAGGTTTTCGGTGCAATTTAAGAAAAGAGTGCGATTAGTATAGGTAGGTTTATTATTATTATTTAATTTAAACGTATTTATTTATACTAAGACGATTTTATGAGTCCATATTTTATTTAAAAATGAACATTCATATTTATAACTAGAAGCCGTGTTATATTGAATGCAGACAACGTACAACGCACTGCGCGTAAGGTGCGCAAGCGCTGAGTTTACCTGGATCCTTTGGTACGTGTCTGACATCATAGCAATGAGTAGATTGATCAGAACCACAACCGACACCAACATGTAGATGCCGAACACAATTTTGAATAAGTAATTCGTCCAAGCGGGTTGCATGTTGCTGTCGGCACGATGAACTCTCGTGTTTTCAGTCGTGGTCTGACCGAAGACAGCGAAGAATAGTAACTCGAACGAAGATAGCGGGTTCATGGTCACTGTGAACAAAAACGGGGCCGTTGTTAACACTCGGTAGTTACCTGGATGCGCTGGTAAGTGTCCGACATCATCGCAATGAGGAGCGTCACGAGCACCACGACTGACACCAGCAAGTAACCCCCGAACACGAACTTGAACAGGTTCTGCGTCCACCACGGCCGTAGGTTCGACGCGTAGTTCAGGTCTGACAACGTGAGTTGGCCGAAAAGGGCGAGGAACAATTTCTCGAGCGCCTCGATCGGTGTGATTGTCGCTAGAAGACAATAACCAACATGGACCAAATTCTTTTCTGAAGCTACCAGACACGAAACAGGGTAGGGGTAGGTTGATACTAGATAATTGAGTCGTATTAACAATCAAATCGTTAATTCGATGTCTAAGTCTAATGACATTAGATCGCATGAATCTGCCCCTACACCCAGTTTTCTCTAAAACTACAATCAGCTAAGTTGATCATCAGGATAGATTGATAAATTTGGAAAGGTTGAATGGGATGTAAGTCGAAAGAATTTTAGATGTCGACGTATACCTAGTCCAGCCATAAGTTTTGTTAAAAGTGAAAATTCATTTTTTTAATGAATTAATGTAATATTATGAAAATTTATACCTACATATTTATTAGCGTCAGCAAAAAATATATTGTATTCGAAATGGCCACCTTTGGCTTTTATTCAGGCCTTTAATCTGTTTGGCCACGAATCTATGGATTTACGCACTGTTTCCAAGGGAAGTTTCGCCACTACTTGCTCAAAAGATTTTTAAAGAGACTCATTGTCGCCGTGTCTTTTAGAGCAGGCCATGTCCTCTAAAACTAACCATAATTTGAAGTCTAAAAGGTTGAGGTCTGGGCTAGATTAGGGCCAGTCTTCAGCTCTTATAAAGTCCGGAACGTTGGTTTCAAGCCAGGCTTGGGTAGTTCGTGCCTTGTGACCAGGTGCAGAACCCTGCTGGAAAGTCCACGGTATATTTTTAATAAGTTGTGTATGTGATATGATCCAAGACTGTATCTTGATACACTTTGGCTGAAGTTTTCATCTCTTTAATTTCTCTTTCTTTTCTCTCTCTTTAATTCTTCTTATCTTTAATTGTAAAGATTGATTTAGGGTTTGTCCTGTATATCGACGATAAGCACCAAGATTCAGGCCTTGTTTTATAATACGCGACAGAGTCCTAGCGGGAATCGTCATTTACCGCGATAAGATTTTTTGCTTCCTAATGGGGTTTCGACGAATTCTGGCTTTATCAGCATTAACAGCAACAGCAGCCTTTGTAGTTCTAATAATACGCGGCCGCCCTGATTTTTTCTGGTTTTCGACAGACGAAGAGTTGTTGTATCTGTTGATAGTACGATATACGAACATACGGCTTATACCAAGCTTTTGAAGTGTCTGGAATATGACCGACGGCTCAATACCTAGTTTGTGCAAGGCGATCACTGCAATCCTATTTTCTTTAACACCTCATTCCATATTGTAATTTGATAAAGAACACGAAAACATATGTGAAATGGCGCAAAACCGAGTGAAGTTGTTAAATTAAAAAGTTGAAAAAAATAAAAAAATAATGTAACTGTATTTATGGCCAGACTAGTTATATCTAGAAATCATCAGACTAATCGTGTTTAATGGATGGAGAGAATCACTTTGTATCAATCCTATCCTATATCTACTTGAACTATAGAGACATCGACAGCGTGAGCCCCAAGAGCGGCATAAAGACGACAAACAGCCAAACAATCTGTATTGTAAAGTGGTACCTCAAGACAACGGTGTGACAGTCGCGGGACAAAAGCAGCCACATGCGCAAATCAAATTGCTCCATCAAATGCGGTGAAGTCGGCCACTCATTCCACTAAAACTAGTATTGTGACGCGCAATGCATATCCTGTGACAACATCCAGATCTGGAACACATGTCCGTAAGCGTCAGACTGTTGTGCAGCAGAAAATGCATTGTGTACATTTATCATACATTCTAAACCACCAAATTCAACGCCATCCTTTATGATTATTGTCTTCATGAATTAAACCATAAACAGTGGCGTGTGAATGTCAGTTGTATATTACAAGGTCCGATCGCATTCCATATCCTGTGTTGATTAGAATTTGTTTTCTATACATGTACCAATGTAATGATTTCGACGATGATAACATTCTCGAGGTGAAAGTAAAACATTCAAGAAGCCGCAAGCGGATGCATAAATCATTGATAAAATAAAAAAATGAAACAAGCACCATCGAGATATAATGCGATCATCGTATGTGTGATATAATGTTATATGAATATTAATACGTAAAAGAGTATTCATTGCTCTAAGTCGGACTTACGTCCTCCCACAGGCTGTTTCCTCCTGTATGATTCCCCTGGAAGGGTTATTGACCACGGCGACTCTACAATTTGCCGTTTTGTTCGTGGGCTCTCTAATGTACAATAAGTATAATAAGTTTAATACTATCTATATTAAAAAATCGTGTTTCTCTGTATGTTTCTTTTTTTTTAGGAAAGTTGAAATATGAAATGTTTGAGGTGATAAAACATCAAAGAAAAATTCTTACCGTCGGAAAAGAGTTTCCGTCTCTGTTGCCTTGCGTATTTATTATCTTCCGCTTTCGTTATGTTCCTAAATGGCTGATTCAAAGCCACGATGTGCATTGAGAATCCGAATACAAATATAGCTAACACTGCAAGAAATCTTCCCAAGTCTTTCATTAGATCTCCAATAATGATCGCCCATGGGCCAAAGAGATGATGGAAAGATAAAAAGTCTAAAATTTGTACGCAGGCTAATAAAAAAGACAAAGCGAAACACTGATTTCTGCAGTACATCAACGTTGGCCAGTATTTAGGCTGCACAAATATCCACCCTGCTACGTGGACCGCTACACCGATCATACCAAATAATAGTACTGCTATTTTTATCCACCCTAAACCTGATTTGTCACTAGGATTCGTGAGTTCAAAGAGTAAAAGACCACTCAATGATATGAGAAGCATCCACTCGTACCATTTTGGTACTAGACTTTCCCTAAAAATAGAGTTATAAATAGGAGTGATCGCCACTAGAGACAGAAGCACCATCAGGTAAATGTGGGCGGTCAGATATGACATGAACTTAATTATGGGTATCTTATTAAACTTATGCCCCAACGGAAGAGAAAAGACCACCCAAACAGGGGGACAAATTATGAACATGAAAAAGAGGAACATGATTTTGAGGCCGCTCCATTTGAGGCTGCCGCGCCAGAGTTCCTGGAACAATGAGGACGGTCAACTTCGTTATCATAATTTAGGGTGTATTCTTCTTTAAAGTAGATGAAGTTACCTATTTTTTACCTGAAGATATCTCTGAACGACTGTGTGGGCTATGACTTCTTTTTGTTCATTCTCTATCAGGACATCTAAGAACTCGATGTTTCTATTGTCCGTGGCGGTGAGTATATGTCCAGCCGAGTCGGCGCCCGCGGCCAATGCCAAGAGCTCGGTGGCCATCGCTTCACATTGTTTCCCCGCAGCGATGAGGTCTTTGGCACGCTCCTTTTCCTGTTAAGGTAAACGTTATGTGACTAGAATGTTATGCGTGTCATTTTGAAGTTAACTAATGTTAAATCGTTTCATTTGTAAATGATTAATAATATCGAGTGATCTAAGTGGATTATGCTATTGACAAAGAACGATCTAATCCATTCTATTGAAAGTTTAGACTTTACACTACTTGTAGAAATTATAGAGAATAACAGATAACTCCAGATAGTAGTCCCCCATGGTTAACTGTTAAACAGGTAATCAGTTTAGCTATTTACTCGATGCGCGATCATCATTTTAAGACAACGCTAAGGGTTAGATATGACAAGGGTTTTTTACCTCGTTGCTTAAAGAAAATAATTTGGTTTGGTATATACACTCAGTGAATATGTCTGGATTCATATAAAAAGGTAATCTACAGAGTTACACTCGGACCTGGCGGACTCCTACAGTCACTTGAAGCTAGCTTTACTTTTTTCAAGATAGAACGTCTATTATTGTAATTTGCATTGATTTAAATCATCTCGAAATAGAAAAATATGCAACATAGGAATTAATATTAATATAATTTTTATCTCTTTTAATAAAAAGATGAATCGAAAGAAAAGAAAGGAAAATTAATGATTGGTAAATAAGATTATCTAGCAAATGAGGATTGAATTTTGTGAAGTTGTGTTCTTTGCCCTAATTACCTTGGTAGATAAATTGATGTAAATATTCGACAACTTGGCGGCAGTGTCCACAGGTGCCGGCGAAACTAGCACGAATTCTTCAATCGGAATATTATTGTGATTCTTAGAACACACCATCAGGTTATAAACGAATCGTTTGTCGTCCATAAGTGATTGGGTATCGTGTTCTTTGTGTAGTAAATACTCAAGGACGTCATTGTGATTTTCTGATGCCGCGAACCAAATTGGCGCACAGCTTAAATTAGTTTCGCTTTTAGGTGACGCGCCAGATTCGCATAATAATTTGACTACGTTCAGATGGCCTGCTTTTGCAGCACAGTGTAGTGGAGTCCATCCGTTCTTGTCGGTGGCATTGATTTCTGCACCTTGCCCAAGTAACACTTCAACCATTTGGTAGTGACCGTAGGTTGAAGCTATGTGAAGTCCAGTCTTGCCATGACGATCTGTACTTTGTAGTAATTCTGCTGATCTGCTGAGGAGTAGACCAACGATGGACATGTGTCCTCCGAAACAAGCAAGATGAAGAGGATTGAAACCCTGAAATGTTTATAAATATGTTTTATAATGCTACGCATAAAAAAACTGCTGAAATATTTAAATATTTTTATCGTTTTTTTATTTATGAATAAATATCCAATTCAGGGAAAAGCACCATATTATAGGGAAAAGCATTTAGTTATGTTACGTATTTTTTGCCTGGTTACTTTAAGACTAGCTTCCACTCGGGACTTCGTCCGCGTTTTAGTTATTTTTTTAGAATTTCACAGTAATCTAAAATTATATCCGGGATAAAAATATCCAATGTGTTAATTTCGGTAATAAACAATATACTTATACACAAAATTTCATCCAAATCCGATCAGCCGTTTTAGCTTGAAAGAGCAACAAACATCCACTCATACGTCCATACAAATTTTCGCGTTTATAATATGAGTAGGAAGGATATGATAGGAAGTAGGATAAATAAATAGGTACTTACATTTTCAGTACTTGCTGCATCTACTTGGACACCCGCCGAGTTGAGTAGTAGTCGTACTACGTTCTCGTTTCCGTTGTAAGCCGCGAGGTGAAGCGGAGTAAGTCCAGACTCTGCCCCTAATACTGGGACCAACGAAACTCCCGTGGGAGGCTCAGACTTGACCGTCCCGGGGACATGGGACAAAAGTTCTCGCACAGTTTCTATGGAAATGGTGAGTAAAATATTAGTATTAAGACCACAAAACACAACTTCCTATTTGGAGTTCACAGTTTAATGGGTTCACTTACCTGCCTGTCCGTAGTAAGCTGCTATATGAAGTGGTGTTAAACCAAGCTTTTTACTAGATATCCTTAGTGTATTAGTGGATCGCATCACATCTAATACATTCGTATGCCCATGTTCTGCTGCCAGGTGAACGGCCGTTAAACCCGCCCTATTCTCATCAGTACAAGACGCGCCTGCCCTCACTAACACTTTAACTACATCAGCGTGTCCGCCTTCAGCAGCTAATTGCAAAGGAGTAGAGTCATTTAACTTATTTCTCGCAGATATCACACCTGTCCTATCAAATTTCATTAGTTCCTCAATCACTTTCACTGAACCCTGAATAGCTGCTATGTGTGCACATGTGTTCCCGTCTTTCGTTGTTGCCATTACCAGATTTGGATGCTGTTGTAGAAACAACTGAACGACTTCAGAATAGTTGTTCTGCGCGGCTGCATGTATTGGCTTCTGTCCTAATTCGTCTGTGGCGTCTATGTTGGCCCCTAATTCAAGGAGGAGTTTGCAGACTTCCATCTGACCACTTGCAGCGGCTAAATGTAATGGCGTTTGTTTCTTCAACGTCAGAACGTCAATCATGGCATTGTGATCTCGTATTAAAAACTTCACTAAATGGGCGTATCCATTCATTGCTGCTAAATGAAGAGCAGTTCTACCGTTTCTAGCTTTTGAATTGATGAAAGCTTTATTTGTTAGTAACGCATCACATACTTGTAAATAGCCATGTTCAGCTGCTAAATGTAATGCCGACCGACCTTCTACGTCGAAAACGTCTACCCTAGCATGATTAGTGAGTAACGTGTTGACAAGTTCCATATGGCCTCTATTACACGCTATTAATAAAGGAGTCCAGCCTATATTGTTCTGTTTGTTGAGAGCTCTTCCAACATCGGCAGCCGATATGTGTGTAATCATTTCAGTCATGACGTCATTATTTCCAGCTACTGCGCAAAAGTGGAATGCTGTTTCATGATTGTGTTTCGTCGTCAAAGTAACATCAGCCCCGTTTTCTAAAAGACATTTAACGACTTCCCTATCTGCTGAAGCTATTCTTACTTCTTCCTTCGTGATCTTGCAGGCGTAGTGAAGAGCACTGGCTCCGTCATCGTCAACTGTGTCTATATATGAAATGGCGACACTCTCTCCCTTTTGGTCTTTTACTATTTCTATTAAATGCCGTACAACATCAGGTTTACAGCTCCGACAAGCCATATGAAGGGGGGTTTCACCAGTCTGTAAAATGAAATTGTACATTCCTGTTCTTATTCGATAATTTTATGTAACTAAAATCTAATTATTCAGATCATTATTTAGAATTTACGACTAAAAGCTTTGCCCACTTTGTACTACGGGCCGAGAGGATGCCTTACGATCCCGACTCGCATTTTTTTTTAAAAAGAGTATACTGAGTTTTAGCTCTGCTAAAATCAAATACCCTTAGCATGACCCAATATCGAATTCGAATAGTTTGTATGGAAACTTGAACAGCAGCGCCACAATGGACGTAACGAGAACTAAAAATCAGTACACATTTGACGTATAAAATAGATCGAATTCCACTATTCGAATTTGATATTGGTTTGTGCTAAGGGTACTACTGTTCGTTACTACGTTCCGCTCAAATAGGTACTTCTCGCTTATTTCACAAATGTGGGCGGGCGGTAAACTTTTAAATTTGGAATTATATTATACTTAGCATGTTTCAAAAAGTTTGTCCGTTAAAAACAATGTACATATATATTTTTAAGCATACATCAGCTCGATTTATAAATGTAAAGCAATTTTTTACTAGAAAAAAACCCGTTTAAACAAAATCTTTTAAGATAATAATGTTACTTAAATTCACTACCTTATTCTTCTTTAGGGGATCCCCGCCGTCTTCTAATAGCAGCATGAGGGTAGCCAGGTTGCCGAACTTGGCTGCGACGTGCACCGGAGTCATGCCATCCTCCGTTGCTTTATTGGGCCCCGCACCTGACTTTAGCAGCATCAGCGCACATTTGTCACCTGTCAGAGAATCTAAATGAAGGTTCAATAACTTTTTTGATGCATCCTCTAGGAACGATGACCTAAGCACCTATATATTCTGTAAATGATACTGTTGTCTGCTTTTTACGGCTTAAGTTTTTTTTTGTATTCAGAGATTTAAGAGATGAGAGGAGAGATGGACAGCGGAGGCTTATTAATAGGGTTCTGTAGTTACAATTTCGAAACGGGAATCTTAAAAAAGTTTGTTTGTGATTTGGTGGTATTATTCTACGTTAACGCCTGTGTATATCAAGATAGCAAAAATTTTGACCAACGTATTCATCAGACCTAGTTCCGAGTAGTTTAAGAGGCAAAGGCACAGGATAAAAATAGTTAAATACGTAACTGTTCTGTGGTAACATGAGTAATGTACTTAAACTTCAGTTGCCTATAAAATTAAGTTTTATTTATCTGTATAATAATAATTGGCATCCAATTATTATTATCTTTCATAAAATTATTACTGTTACTTTAAAAATATGTTAAGGTATCGGAAAAATCTAGGCAAAGCGAGTTATTCTTTCTTGTGTGCGAATGAAAATAAAAGTGATTAATACTATGTATTTATTTAATGATATACTTTACCTTTCGTAACACAAACACACACATATCTACACATGGCTGCGGATATGGACGGATATTCTATGTAAACAACATAGATTATGATTGGTCTCGCTAAACAATAATCTCAACTGAAAATGGGATCAGAAAAAGTAAAACATCGAACAACATTGTGATCCAATGGTGACTTCTATTATGCCTAATTGCTGACAAAGTTACGGTGTTCCATAACATGGACATTACATAGGTACGCGCTGAAGCTAAACTAAAACTTTTTTCGTGCATACTCAGAATGAAACTAAATGCGCTAAAATTAGTGTTCGAATTTTGAATTAGTTCTGTCGTAATGAATTAGCGGGCTCCGAGTCTAGACGCTAGACGATAGCTTGGCTGGCGATAATTTGATTCGCTAAAAGAGGTTGTAGAATTGGTTAAATTTATATTTTCAACTAAAGGTGCGTACTTAATTCAAAGTTCGAAAGCTAATTTTAGCGCATTTTAGCACCAAAGCCACTAGAAGCTTAGTCACGCAGGTGTGGGATTAGCATAACAGGATAGACACCACGCATCGCTGAAAAATAAAATAACTCTGATGTCACTACATGACTAATGAAATTTTATTGGGACCATCACGAATAGTGTTGCCAGGTTCGATTTGTTTCAAATCGGTACAAGAGGTCAAAAAATCAGGATTTAGGGTTGCAGATCGGGACAGTAAACAAAAACCAAGGGGTTTTTAAGTATGGGTTTGATTTATTGCGTTTTAAACTACTAGTACATAGTAGTATTATATTAATTACCTAAATTTCATATTTTTCATTAGTCGGGACATTTAGCATCCCGATCAGGTACAAACCGGGACTCGTCCCCAGACCCCTGAAAATCCGGACGTCCCGCGCAAATCGGGACACCTGGCAACACTAATCACGAATGAAGTGAAACAAATTTATTAGTTGTTCCAACACGTTTCAGCGTCTCACTCTGCTTCCCGCCATGGATATGGACGCGATGGATTAGGATGGATGGTCGGCGCCGAAGCTCAGCAGGGTTACTGTTGTGTTGAGTTGATGTTTGCTCTAACAACTACAATCTACGTACAGCATTCATCGTCCGGGATCCTCGCGGCGATGTGCAGCGACGTCTCTCTCTGCTTCCCGCCACGGATATGGAAGTCGGCGCCGAAGCCCAGCAGGGTTACTGTTGTGTTGAGTTGATGTTTGCTCTAACAACTACAATTTACGTAGAACACTCACCGTCCGGGATCCTCGCGGCGATATGCAGTGGCGTCTCTCTCTGCTTCCCATCGCGGAATGTGGACGTAGGCGCCGAAGCCCAGCAGGGTTACTGTTGTGTTGAGTTGATGTTTGCTCTAACAACTACAATCTACGAACAGCATTCACCGTCCGGGATCCTCGCGGCGATGTGCAGCGGCGTCTCTCTCTGCTTCCCGCCACGGATATGGACGTCGGCGCCGAAGCCCAGCAGGGTTACTGTTGTGTTGAGTTGATGTTTGCTCTAACAACTACAATCTACGAACAGCATTCACCGTCCGGGAACCTCGCGGCGATGTGCAACGGCGTCTCTCTCTGCTTCCCGCCACGGATATGGACGTCGGCGCCGAAGCCCAGCAGGGTTACTGTTGTGTTGAGTTGATGTTTGCTCTAACAACTACAATCTACGTACAGCACTCACCGTCCGGGATCCTCGCGGCGATGTGCAGCGGCGTCTCTCTCTGCTTCCCGCCGCGGATGTGGACATCGGCGCCGAAGCCCAGCAAGGTCTCCACGACGGCCGGCTTCGACGACTCCACCGCGATGTGGAGGGCCGTGTAGTTGTCCTGTTTTATAGTTTTCTTTATTTATAGGTCCTGACTTCATCTACCCCACCTGATTTTAAGTGCCAGTAGAGTGCTGATGTGAGTTTTATTGATCAATTAAACAATAAGTCGATGAAGGCATTCTCAGAGAGGCCCACTCACTTGCACCAAGGTTAGACATATTGCTGAAGCTTCTTACCATCAAGATGTTTTTAATTTACTAAAGTTTGTTTTGACAGAAACTCTACTGAATCATGAAGAACAAGACTATAATTGAAGTAACAATCATAGTAGGTAATTTGGCAATGTTTTAAAAATAGAATGATGGCGCTTACATTGGTAGTAACGTCGACGCTCTCCCCCTTCTGTAGCAGGGTGTTGATGATCCCCACGTGGCCGTACCGGGCTGCAGTGTGAATACTCCTCGCACCGTCCTGAAACATTCAGTGGTTGGTACAAATAATACAATGCGTATTCATTAGATAAAATAAATAACTATGATTTTCTCGAAATAATTTTACTCTTATGGAGACAGTCAGAATTGATTGAATTGAATAAAACATAAATGTAATGATATGTTTTTATTATTTTTATTTTATTTTGAAGAATATCATCATTGGTTCCTTTTACATCAAGTTTGTATGTAATTCGTTAGTTCTTACTTAGTGTCCGACCGAAGGTTCGGTTTCGGTTTCGGTTTCGGCCGAGTTTCGGCCAAAAATCAAGTTTCGGCGGCAGTTTCGGTTTCGGCCAAAATTGGCCGAAACTTTTGCCGAAACCGAAACTGATTACGGAAGTTGTCGTGCAGGCTCGCCTAACTTCGTTTCTCGCGGTAATGCATTGGCGGACGCTGGCGGCCCTGATCGGGAATTCTCGTGCGCCGTTCGGATAGCTCAGTAGCACACACAACTTAGTGCGTTATCGCCCGATGCAAACATTCTTTAGAGGTTATGTTATGATGGAACTTCTAAGAGATTTATGATTCTTCTAAGTACAAATACAAACCAAAGTATTAATAAGATTTCAAAATACCAATACTTAGTATTTAATGAAACAGTAAAAATTAGTGGAGATTGCTCAAATTGGCCCAAATGCACAAAAATATTGACATACACGGTAATTCTTGGCGTAATTTGTAATTTAATTTACAGTCATTAGATTTCAACGGACACCTTTGTATAATATATTCACTTTAAAAAGGACTTTTTATTTTACCGGTTTGGAAAACATATGAATCATTTTTAATGGCTATGGGTGTAGTAACATTTAAGCCAAAGACTGATTGAAGTTGTTTATATAACATAAAAACAAATCTATTTTGTAAAGATCGATAAAATAAATATTTTTTTTATTACACTGTGGTATTAATATCCACAACTATATTATCATTTTCACTACATGCAAATTTGCTCAGACAATTATTATAGATGGTAGGCGACATCATAAAGTCTATTGCCATACATTTTTCGCCAAACACCTCCATAAACACGTTATAATCTGTTTAGACTTTAAGGTATCTATCTATGAGCTTACGCCTGACTATAAATAAATAAAATTATAAGGTGTGATACACTAAAAATCACACGCACAATCACAAAAAAATGAAGCTACTGAATATATGGCTATATAACCTAAACCTCTTAGCTTTCTTTGGTTAACGAGAGTTTAAAAATTCTCTCTAATCTGTGGCTCATTCACAATCATCACACAGTTTCTGTCACAGAGTACCTTATTATAACCGGAAATGCATATAACACACCTGATTTTAAAAGTTACTCTTATGCATTAACTTTAAAAACAGGCAACTATCTGTTAATCTACATGCTCTATATACCTGAATCTAATCCATAATTTCGGTACTTGGCTTCCCTAGTTTACTATATAACTTATTTGTTTTTTATTATTTTAATATGTTCAGTGTATATGGTTTATAGAAGTTCTCAGGGGTGTCCGTCAATAATATTAGTTTTTACAGTAATTTATATATAATTTCGAATCTAGGAAACAATTTTTCATTATTATTGGTCTTTAGGCCAAACATGTATGGAAGCTGAGCAATCTCCTTTTGCTATGAGAACTTTATTTGTATTTTTTTTTTAATATTTTTAATATTTTTTTTAGTATATTAAATAACTGATAAGAACAAAATTAAAATACTGTGTTTCCATTTCATGCCCTAATTAATGCAGAATAATCGGTAAAATGGACCAAATTTCAGTATTTTAAGGAATTTTATACTTGACCACGTGAGTTTCGGTTTCGGTTTCGGCCGAAACTGAAGCCACGGCCGAATGTTCGGTTTCGGTTTCGGTTTCGGCCGGAAAACTAGTTTCGGTCGGACACTAGTTCTTACCATAATTATCATCATGTTAAGGCTTTACCTTCAGTGAGATTTGTATAAACGTAATCACAAATATATTCTTGGCAAGTCATAGTTGTATCTAAAATAGAGATTTTAATATACTGTTTTTCATAGAGGATTTTATTCATTGTACTTACTTCTAGGTAACATTGTTTTATCAATTATTTTTAAGAAAATATTGTTTTATCATCTTATAATCGCGGCACTCATTTACATCAAACCATTATCATCTCTCTCCCTATCTTTGGCCTGAGCGCCTGTACGAGTTAGCGTAGCGCGTACATTTGCCCCGTCGGCATTTTACGCCACATGCATTTATTTAGGTCAAGAATGAATCAGTACCCCTAGCACGAACCAATATCGAATTCGAATAGTTTCCGAGTGCGAAAGACATTGTCAAATATGTACTGATTTTTAGTTCTCGTTTCGTCCGTTTAAGCGCTGCTGATCAAGTTTCTATACAAAATTTGGCAATGACATTTCGGACTCGCAAACTATTCGAATTCAATAATGGTTCGTGCTAAGGGTACAGTCGGTCATTATTCGTAACACGCGTTCTCATAATCATAACTTTTAGTTTCGTAATTACCTGTAATATATCATTTAAGCATATCAAGACTTCCTCTTTCTCTCTTTATCATAAAAGGTATACGAAATCCATACACGACACACTATTAGGAGTGGACGCGAGCTGAGAGGCACTTGAGAAATAGGCATTTGGAAAAACTATCGCTGACGCGCTTTTGCAAATACCGTGCGATAGGGACAACAATTAGCTAACGCTGAAAATTGCGTATAAAAATTGCAAAATTGGAGGTTTCGCTCTCGACGATTTGCTCCTTGATAATGCGGTATGATATGAGGAGCTCGATGGCGCAAGTGGTTAGCGTTAAGCAACTTTCGCAGTATCACGAGCCCCTCCGTGCTTCGGAAGGCATGTTAAGCCGTTGGTTCCGGCTGCATCTGCAGTCGTTAGCACCCACCAATCCGTACTGGGCCCGCGTGGTGGGTCATGGCACAATCTCCCTATTCCATCCATAGGGAAGGCCTGTGCCCCAGCAGTGGGGACATTAATAGGCTGATGATGATGATGATGATGAATTAGATGTGTAAAAGAAATTTTACCCATACAATAATAAGAAGTTAAACTAGGCAATAAACTAGTGGTGACAATTCTTTTTATTTATTTTTTGGTGTTTTTGAGGGCCTCTAGTTTCTTTGAAAAACAATTTATCGAGTAAAAGGAAGATATAGAAGCATAGAATGAGTAAAATTTTATTTTATGTAAGAAAATCCCTTCCTTAGTGATAAAAATTTAAGGAGGAATCAGTCGAGAACGTTTGTATGATAAAAACATTGCCCGCCTCCCCTCTTAATATTTTCCACAAATGCTATGCCGGCTGCGTTGCGAAAGCTTTTATGTTTTGCCGTAAAGACTAATAAAAGCTTCGTTAGTTTTTCTCCAACATGAAAATTATTAAACAATGTAACAAAGTGTTTTGGCACACAGAATTAATAATTTTCATACAATTAATTATCATTAGCATAAAGTTTACATTACAGTTAACATTTTGTCGTTGGAATATAAGCTTTAATTATGATGCTTTAGGGTTTTACGTAATAACTTAACACGAGATTGTCATAAAAATATGATTTCATTTCCTCGGCACTAAACCTACCTACAAGGCTACTTGTAGGTAGGTTTACCATTTCTTCGTAAACAGAAGGGCAAAATAATGTATGCCTCTACCATAACAAATATGTAGATCGCCTAATTCGGCCTTGACACCCTTGGTTAATATTTCGTGGACGTTTTTTAGAATGAAGATCACATTTCTAATTCATAAACAAAAGTTAAAAAAAAAGATTATTTCAGTAAGCCGCAGGTATATTTTGATATTACTTTTGATTTAGTCGAATATTTTCAATGTATTATTGTTAGCATTGTGTGTACTAAAATAACATAGAACAAGCTCATTTATATATAATATTATTAACATATCTACAGTTAAGAAAATTGATTTGATCAAGATTAAACAAGTTATTGGAACTTGGATACATGAGAAAAAACGCAATGACGTTACTAATGATAATAAATTAATTGTTTGTACGGTAACGCTCCACGAGCAAGCCCAGAATGTTTATGTTATATGAATATGATAGGTAGGTACTTCATAAACGTGTTAAACTTTTTGCTTTATTTGGCATGTAATGTCTATTTATAGCTATGGATATGACATATGACTAGATCCGGGTATGTGTGAGTCCTGCCTGACTCGTGGACTGAGGGTTCAAATTTCAAGATACTTTAGTCATCTATCATGCAATTATTGGAATTGGATGTATAGTACCACTCTTTTGAATCGTTTGAAAGCCATTTTAAGTAATGCTTAGATTATTTTCAAATTTAAACTATCATCAAAACACCTATTTAAGATTTTATTTTTACATCTCTTTTCCTCTTGTTTAGTACCCAGCAGAAACGTGTGAATAAATAAAATAACCATATCCCGTACAAAATTACGGCGCCTATTTGGTAATTATCCTCCTTATTTCATTTCCACAACATGACTGTTATAAATGCCAGTAACTGAGCCAAAAAGAAGAGGAAAATTTGTTTCTTACAAACCTTATTCGGCATGTGTAGATAGACACCTTTCTTGAAGAGCATCATGGCACAGTCTGCATGCCCGTTGAGTGACGCAATGTGCATGAGAGTGCTACCATCTTTGGTCCTCTCGAAGATGGAAGCCTTGAACTTGTCAGCCAGCAGCTCGATGATACCTGCGTGACCGTTCTCCGCAGCCAAATGCATTGGAGTTCGATCTGACGAGAAAAAAACATGTTAAATATAACATTTCCAGATATTGTCCAGAATGGACTGTGACAAAAATAATCATGTTAAGGTATTTCCTAATAGAAGCTTACTTATGCGTCTACATTTGTAATGAAAAAATTTGACTAGTTTATGTCAGGAAAACTCTTTTTTATCTGTAACTTCTTTATCTTTAACAATTTCGTTTTTCACCTTTTAACTTATCTCACCTTCATTGTCAGCAATAGCTGCGTTTGCTCTTACTCCATAGAAGTATTTAACTAAAGGTTCGTCCCCTTCACAGGCTGCTATGTGAAGGGCCGTTTGACCAGCACCATTGACGGCATCCACGGCGGCACCGTAGTCCACCAATATGCGGGCCATGTCGACATCTCGACGTCTAGCTGCTAAGTGCAGAGCTGTGTCTCCGGCAGGTGTGCTGGCCTGGTTAAGGCATTTGGTATTATTCTATATTCTAAATCAATATGATGTATTCAACATTCGGTAGCAGACAAACATTAATGAATTTTGAAAGAATTGTCGGTGAAGGTAAAATTATTGGTACTACCTAATTCCAACTTGCGATAAAACTTAAAATACTTTGGTATATTAATAAAATATGAAATTAATTGATTTTTTAAATTACCAACTGCAAACCACCTAAGATAATTTTATTTATTGTCTTTATCGTTATTGATACTCCAATATTTCACTGAAGCCGTTTGATTTATATTGTCCCACACTAAAAATTACCAAAGTAACAGTTCACATGTTTTATTTTGGTTATTATTACGACTCATGTCCAACATACCTTGAGCTGTTCGGCAGTCTGCGCGCTGAGGAGCTCGCGGACCATGCTCTGGTTGCCTGCCTCCACAGCCAGCAGCAGCGGTATTTTTCCTCTCTGCAACACCATGTCGCGAATTAACTTTTTCCATTCCTTTTGTTTCGTGCGTTCCTTGTTCAGCTCTATGAAGCTGAGTTCGAGCTTTTGTAAATCTTTCGACTGTGCATTCGTAGGTGGACTACGCACGCCCGAACGAATACTCGAATTGCCACTTCGTGGTACGTCCCTCCCACCATCGGACATTGCCAATCTTCCGATCGTGTATCAAGTCCCTTCACTGAACTCCATACGATGCAGCGTTTGTGCACCAACAACTCACGCTAGTTGCGGCATGCTACGGCACGAAACTTTCCAAACTGTGACAATATAGACTCTTCACACCGACTTATGTGCATCGCGAATTCGCGATCTACCTTTGCCATTCGATAGAATGCCAAATCGATTCCATTACTTGTTTCAATCCGGACTCGGAATCGAATGAATCTAAAATTCTCAGTACGCAACTTTATAAACCCGTCACAGATCATAAATACGTACTTGCTCATCCATCGTAGTCACTATAAAGCTATAATCCTAAGAGGGACATGGCAAAGCTGCCTTGCCGTAGTCGTGACGAAGGGCGACTGAGACTTATTGTATTAAAATTACTAATTTTGAATTTCACCGCTGACGTTATAACTAATATTCCGCGAGTGATTTGCATTGTAAATTCGCGCTGTGACGTTTACTTCGCGGGTAATGCTCGGTGGATAATTAGCCAGTTTCTATTCGTATGGGCCTCGCTAGCGGCGGAATGTCCTGAAAATGCTATTATCAACCTTGGGCGATGTATTTTTGGTGTTTTAAGGGATGGAGGTTTAGGTAATTAGCGGTTGTCATTTTGGTGCGTGAGGAGGTTGCGTCAACGTCGCAGTTGCGTGGAAAGTTCGATGTGAAGCTTTTGGTCGAGTCTTAGGGTGATTCTTCGAAGTTTCAGGGGGCGTGTTTTGTTTACAGGTTGTGTTTTTGGGGGTTCATAGGTACCTATTGCGGATGGCGGTACCAGGCGAGCGGCGGCGTCGTTGCACGCGATCGCACCCTGGCCGGCTGCATCCCTGACTATTCGCATCCAAGTCGCCATAGCGACCAATCGAATTCCCAATAACGACATCGTAAAGTAGAACTGTGAACACGCGATGGATCGAAGGTTCCGTATGGATGTCGGTTTTACAGTTTCAACAATTTACTGTCAATTCAGATTTCAAGGATAGCGTCGTGTACATGCCAGTAAATAAATACGCATGTTAGGTAGTTAGTTTCATATTTGATACAAATGGTGCTTGGACAAGTTCGGTAGATTCTGCTTTGATTTTCAATGAAGTCATTTGTTTTGAAGAAATGTATTGGCTTAAATTAAGGGTATTTCGAAAGCTTTAAAATGATACGTAACCCAAAAAATACATGTATGAACCTATTTAATAATGTATTATGCCTAGTGAATGTTTACGTAACAGCTGATCCTAGTTTAGACGAAACCTAAAAATAGCGTGACTATCCTAAAAGGTTTTGGAAATTGCTTTTTATTTAGTATCTGTGGCCTTATAAAGTTCGCGGGTCATTCACTTGGCTATATATAATCGTCTTATCCTTTAAAGTTTGCGCTCGCTTCTGATACCTTTTACACCTTCATCTTACAAATCTAAGCTGATAAATATATAAAACCCATACTAAAATACTTTTAGGTGATAAATAATATTATACTACATATCTGACCCTTCGTTCGCCCACTTCGTTGGGTGATAAACATGCTTACGACAAGGTTGCGGTTCCATACCTATGTGGTATTTATTTTCTCTTTATGGTAGGAGAGCCCAAGCGGGGATTTCTGGATTTACTCGAGCGCGACAGATTAACATAAGGGGCAACCTTGCACCTTGTGAAGAATTCCTATCGTACATGAGCTTTCTATGTAGGGCCGAACGTCTAGGGCAGCAAGAAAAAATTCAACAAAAGGCCATGACTTTTGTTCGTGTCCAAATCGACAGTATTTCCAATTAAATTTAAAAAATAACAAAATTCAATATTATTTATTCAGTCTAGGCTGTTACAACCACTTAAGAATGTCGAAAAGCTACACCATCGGTTCGCAAATCTACGGCGGGAGACCTTGTACTGAGAAGAAACGGCAAGGACTGTTTTTTTCTCCCTGTATTATATACAGAGTAGTCAAATTGAAACACGACTTCAACATGAGATAACTTATGAAGTCATATACATATTAATAGGAGCTCCTGTAGGGTTCACGTTACATCTCTTCTGTTCTGTCTCTCGTTAAATATCTGACGCGCTCGAATATATTTTTTGTCATATTCTACTGATTCGCACGGCCACCCCCAAACAATGCAAACCGGCAGATATTTTTTTTACGTCCTTAGAATCGTTATGTGGACCCTCCAGTAGCTATTTGGATGTAACCAAAGTCATGACCGTTTGTTGATATTTTTCTTGCTGCCTGCAGGTATGGTGAGAGTACTTCACAAGGTGCAAGGTTGCCCCCTATATGTTAATCTGCAGCGCTCGAGTAAATACAGGAATTCCGGCTTGAGCTCCTGTACTATTTACCATTCGTCCAAATTATATGCAGTGAAAGGGAAAAGTCTTTGATTTTAAACACTTGAGACAAAAAGTTTACCTATTATGATAAGAATCCATATTGTTGCTATTATAACCAATAACCATGACCTAACGTTCGACCGTTTTTTCGCCGACTTTGACTTTACCTTACCACGAAAAAGTCTTTTCATTTTTTCGGGTTAATACATTACGTCACGTCTGGATACAATTTTACTTAGAAGTATAGCTTAAGAAACTCAAAAATAACATGGCTTTTTATTGGCAAACATAAATTTTCATAACCGATTCAGTACAACCAGAGATTATAACAAGCTCACAAACTTTACCCCTTTATAATATTTGTATAGGGACGATGACCAACTTTTTTTTCTTATCATGTAGATTAACAAAAAGGATTGGACACGTATTTTTAATTTTTTTACATAATCAAAACATTACAGAGATATATTGATTGGAAATGTTGCATTAAGTCATGTCTTGGTACAATTTTACTTAGAAGTGACGTCACGAGCTCCCACTTCCGAACTTTGACGCGCTTTATCTTTGTAATTTTGCCGTACAAGCTTAACCGTAAAGCTATACCGCACTTCAGTAACTTTCCCCAGTCATCTCCGTTCTTGTATAATAAATGTATCTTTTTTCATTTTTTTTATCTGTCATTTAGAAACCTTGTTATATTAATATGTTGATATTGTATATTTTATTGACATAATATTAGGTAACTCTGGCATTCTTAATTCTATAGAAAAATGTTATAAGTAATTAATCTTTGTTTTTTCAAAGTTCCATATATTTATGTTTTGCATGCTATTTTAAAAATGGCAAAACACGCGCTCAATCCACTTTTTGTGTAATACCTGTTTACCGTGTTTTTAGCAAATAAAGATTATGATTATGTAAGTGTTGATAATTTAAAAGATTTGTTTTTTGTTAAATATACAAATTTATTTTTAACTTATACTAAAAAGATATGATATCTGTTGTTATCCTTATTTAATTTTATTCTTAACTTTGAAGATAACAAACAGATTTAACAATTTTATTATAAATAACGTATTGACTACTCGGCGCGCCAACGTAGAGTGCGGCATGAGGTGCTTTTGTATATTTATGTCCAAATATTTACATCTCATTTTGCACAGACCGTATTAGAAGCAAGCAAAATTATCAGTTTGCGATTAAGCAATTACTCTTCCGTGTATTATTTTTAAAATTCGAGTACCGGCTTGTTCAAAACACATTTACAAATTTATATTTTGCTCTACCGAATTCACAGAAAAACTAATGAAAATCCCTGCCGTGTCGTAAGAACAGCATTTTTGAGAGCTGCACTACGATAAGTCCTGTATGGCCCTATAGAAATCATGACGTACTGAACGCGATACATGGTTGTTATATTGAAAGAAGAATGTTAACAGCACTTTCTAGTAAGGCGGTTGGTAATGGCAACTTTAGTCACAAAAGTTATAGTAAAAACAATTTTATTTAGTTACATTCCTATAACCAGACGTTGTAGAAAATCTCGTGATCTCACTTCTCTTGAATTTCACATCTTATTTCTAAGGTTCTTCTAGGAAAAATGCCTTTGGTAACTTACACCATCGACCCTGAGTCGAATATCCTTCCCGGCAGCCGTGAGCAGCGCCCTCAGGATGCTGGTGGCGGTTCCTGTCTGTCGGCTGGCCACCAGGTGCACTGCCGTCTGCTGTCGACTCTGTACATACAACGAAAACAATTGACTATCGGGATCATGATCGATTTGTAGAAAGGTATTGTTTAACTCGAGATTCTTTCGAAATCATGCCACTTTTGTGCGTATTGCACCTCCGCAATCTTAGGCAGTTGTTGACTCTGTACCGTGGGTACAGCTGACTATCGACATTATGATTTAAATGTTAGGCAAGTACAGACAACCTTACATCATCTTACCAAATATAAAGCTAAGTTATATGAAATCCATAGCCAATTGGCTGTTTTAATATTTTGGGTAACTTGAATTTTGGCTGTTGCTGCACATTAAACTCTAGATTTTTACCACTTTAGTGGGACCTTACTTATTTTCTCACGGATAAAATATGGGTAATCGAGTACAGTACGTGCACAGGCACGTAAAAATTTTACTCACCTAACTCAAGAGTCTGGGGACTGATTCCTACGTATGTTGTAGATACTATTGTAAACAATTTGAAATTCATACTGCCAGACACATTCTGTTCATTATTTATCCCATTCATTGATTTATCGAAGATCCCATTATTAAAAATAAGATAATAAGAATAATAAACAAAAAGACGCTAAATCCAAAATGCGAATGAAATAAAAGCGACAACTGGAATTCATGAGTGCCATAGGTAGGCGACGATTCAAACCTCGCATATATGATAGACGGCAGAAAAATATGCTGATGCGGTAGACATCTTATCTACCAAACCTTTGCCTTGCTAGTTTGACCACCTTCTCCATGAAGATAACGTTATTATTAGCAGAAACAGAACATTATAGGATGCTATAAGTTGAAGCAGATTTTACTATCGATCCGATCAGAAGACCTGCAGTGCTATCATCAGCCTGTTAATGTCTTCACTGCTGGGGCTACAGTTGGGTGCTAACGACTGCAGTCAGAGACCAACAGCTTATCACACCTCCTGAAATATGGAGTATTAGGAGGTTAGGCCATTGAGAAAGTTCCTTAACTTCCACGATTACAGAACTAACGCTATAGCATCTGTGCCATAAAGATTCTCAGACATATTCATCACTTCCTTATCTTAACTTAGGAAAACAAAGAAAACAATAATGTAATGAATTTAAACAAACCATGAGCACATCTTCCATTTCAAAGGCCTTCAGCAACTTATTAACACTTTCGCGATGAGCATCGGCCATATTAATTTTATTAACTTGGTTTAAGTAATAGATTATTGGATATTATTATTATGTAACTATTTTATTTTTGATCTTTAGCATAATTATATGCTTCTTAGCATACTATTTAATTTTCGATCTTTAGCTTAAAATCAAATACATTATCCTTTGGTGAAATTCTACTATACTCCAAGGAGGCTTGAGTTGCAATGAACCCAATTTAAGCTGGTTGCGAATAGAAACTACGGCGAACTATTATATCTGAAGAATATTACGATTGTAATGGGCCAAGGAGGTTGCACAGAAGTTAAACTGTGATTTGTAGAACCTTGTCAAAGTATTTGTTGGATCTACATTACAAGTACTTTTAATGGACTATTTTACAATGGGCTTGTTTACCTTTGACTGGGTAGCTTGAGTGTAGGGCACTAAAGTTACTGGTTTTCTCAATTTATATGCATTAACTTTAGAATTGACTGCTTTAAAATAAAATCTTGGTTTTCAAGTCTCGGATTTAACGGGACGAAATTTCTATATTGTTTTTTTGAGTAGTTGTCCGCTGTCGTAACTTAGTTTTTTATAATACCATAACAAAATGGAGTTTATGAATACTTACATTCCGATCTTTTTAAAACCCTAAATGTGCCAAGCCTAGGTTACGTTAAAGTAGGTAGCCATGCGTGACTTCAAGCAAGCATAAAACTACTTAGTAATCTTCGAAAAATCTTTGAAAACTACCAAAGTTTCCAGTTTGATTGTGCAAGTTGGAATTTGAGGGGTTTTCTTAGCCAAGATTCTTTGACTGACTCATTCGTTTTTACGGTTAAACCGAGTAGATAATATCACAACATAGTTTTAAGTACTGGTTATGTTAAAATATACATTAAAAGTTATTCAATCTTTTTGTGATAGAATCAACGAATTAGATATCAGATCCTCAAATTCGTTGGATAGAGAAATGTCAATGGTCTAACATTAAAAGCTTGACAAAAGTCGACATTCAGGAAACCCTTTAATTTTGTCAGTGAGTCTAAGATTGTCTATTAGTATTCACAAATAAAAGATTAGCGATGACTCCTAACTTCACCAGGAGCTGTTTTAATTATTAGCGCGTTCTGTCTGTGATTGTGGAAGCTAAACAAGTTTCGTAAAATCAGTTATAAGATCTTCTTCGTTTTTCAGAAGGCACATTAAGACATTGTTGATCCCGGCTGCTTTAACACTAACCTGCACCGGACTCGTGTAATGGCCTGTTCCCCTATTTTATCCAGAGGGAATACCTGTGTTTACACATTAATGACAGTAACAGATTTGTAATGATGATTGTGAATGACTGCACCCGATAAATCAAGCGTTAAGTGTGACTCCTTGTCCTAATAAGATGATGAGTTGTGTGGTAAAGGTTATTATTATTACTTTCCTACCCCCTGGTGAATTTTCTCATTTCAGTAACACTCAAAACAAACGGCGAGGCTTGGCGTGGATGGGAAAAGGCAATTGAATTCTCTCTGACTCTTTCCTACTATTTTCAGCTACATAACAAAGTATGGATCAAAAGAGACAATTGATATCTCGACTCTCGCATATTTGCATTATACGATAAATTAATGCCGATTGAATAAATGATATACATTGTCTTGACTGTTTATCGGATATAAAATCAGGAACCTGATTGGAATACCGGCCTGAACCGTCGCTAACCACAGTCATGTCTTGTACTGGCTTTTGTCTGCTATAAAACTCATGCGAATGCAAAAAATTAGAGACACGATAATTAATCGCCATAAGGAAATAAGTACCTAAAATCGTCAAAACAACCAACCGGCGGCAGCAGACTTTTGGAGCCAGACTCTTCGAAGGTTATAAGTATTCGATTAAAAGGAGTTTCGAATATGACCCCTTTCATAACAAACACAACGTATAGTTCTATTTATATTCTTGATATTGATTACACAGGTATATTAAATTTATAACTAGACGATCACGATTTTTATTATTTAGACTACGACATTGAGGCGATTGAATCACCTCATTTGTCTCAGATAGACACATAGGCCAGGTCGTCTATTTGGATGCGCATAATGGGCCCTATGCGCTCATTCTTATTAGATAGTACCACTAGCCTTACTTATTCGTTTTAGATAATCCCATAAGACACGAAATATCCTTTACAGTTGATGTCGTGACAGGGAAAGTCACTTAGCGCAAGGATATACTCATTTTAGATTAGGCTTAGGTTTTACTTATAGATCTCAAAAATGAGGCCGTTGAGTCCTATGTATATGTGTCATACATATATATATATATTTCAACAAATTTCAAAACCCCCTCAGGTTCGAGTGGTCTAGACGCTCCAGATCTCTAGAGGTACTAGCCAATTCTCGGCTTGAGGTCCTTTTAGGATCTCGCCGTCCTCAAAAAAAAAACAAATTTCAGAGCGTGGTAGACGCGGTGTTGACTGCAAGTTTTTTATGGTCTTTCTTTCCTAGCGCTTTACCTTATTACCACAAAAATGATCGTCACGCTTTCAACACGAGCGATGTCTTTTTGGTCAATATGGTTTAAAACAGTGTCTAACTTTTTTTTAATGCATCCATTAGAGGGAGAACATATTTGAACTATAGTTAATTTTAGGTCACCACCGACCTCCCCGTCGGTGGTGACCTAAAATTAACTATCTCGAGCTCCTCCGTGCTTCGAAATGCACGTTAAGCCGTTGGTCCCAGCTGCAGCTGCAGTCGTTAGCACCCACTAATCCGCACTGGGCTCGAGTCATGGCCCAATCTCCCTTTTCCATGCTTAGGGAAGGCCTGTGCCCCAGCAGTGGGGACATTAATAGGCTGATGATGATGATGATGAACCATTAGACTCCTTCTATTACTCGTATCATGGTGTCTCACCCCTCCCGTGGCGAACGGGTCCACTCCTCTTTTGGACAGCAACAGTTTGACGACGTCTTCCCGAGCGTACATCGCCGATATGTGTAGCACATTGTAATTGTCCTGTAACAATTAAACTGTGTAAGTGACGAGTATATTCGACCATTGGCAATAAACACATAAAGGTTCATTTTTAAATACGTAAAAATATTAAAATTTTAATAAATATACATATAATAAAATGGTAGGAAAGTCAAAACTGTACATTAAACATTTTTTTAAAAGAATACTTGGGTGTGATCTACAATCGATATCGAAGCCAAAAATATAGTTTTTAGAATTTTTGTATGTCCGGGATAAACTCAAAAAGTACTGCATGGATTTACTTCAAAATTGGCACGAATATTATTAAGAAGTCGGGTCAACATATAGGTTACATAAATTTCACGAAACTCCACCCCTAAGGGGGTAATACGGGTTATAAATAATGAAAGTCCTATGTTTTTGAAGTAAAAGACTTGAAATTTAACATCTGGAGTAGAGGTGTACTAATAATGTATCTTTTGAAATAAACCCCCTTTTGGGATCAAAATGTATGTGCAAATAACTAACTCCACGCGTACGAAGTCGCGGGCGGCCGCTAGTTAACAATGTTATTGAAAATTTGACAGTATTTGTTTTATGCGTGGCGCAACTAATTGCCCCTCCCCACCTGATATTAAGATTAAGTAGAGTCCAGTCGAGAAGATAGATGACGCGGCAGAAGGTGTGCCGCTCACAGCCATCCTTACCTTGCCGGTCTGAACACAATCCCCTATCTCGCGGAACCCTGGAACCCTACTCACCAGCAGAAACACAACACCATCAAAATGTAGTGTAATCTTACTGTTGCTTCCCCAGGCGGGCGCTCTAATTCGAGCGGAAAATTCGTTGTGCCTTTCCTCTCTTTAGTTTACGTTCCGCGAATTTTTGGAACTAAATTATTATTATTCCAAACAGAGACGTATAAAAAAAAAATACTATTCAATTCGATCAAGGTTGATGTTTTCAGGCATCTGTCTCCTTCCAGCTGGGTTATGAATGATTTCCTTATCCTATCATCTAACAACGATATGAAAAAATTTGATTTGGGTGTTCGGCGTAAATAGGTCAATAAATCCAAAGAAGTACTTTTTAACGTAAAAACTTTATTAAGAAAACTTTTACAGAAATTTATGAAAAATCGAAAAATATCGTATGATGAAAAAATCGAAAGTCCCTTCTTTTCTCTCCTGGTAAAGTAGGCGATAGTTTAGCGAGTTTATATTATAGAATAAAAACATTCATTAATATTAATTTAAATACTAAAAATTAAGTATAATAAATTTTATAAATAGTTAATTGGTTTTCCTAGAGTAAAACTTCCTACCTACCTAATTCGTAAATGAAGCTCCACGCTTTTCAGAAATTTTCACAAAGTCCTACAGCGCATGGGCGGATCGCGCAAACCGCGAAAAGAACAAATGTAAAAAGGACAGACTACTTAGAGCCTTGGTAGAGCCATTAAAATAAAATAAAAAAATAGTATTGTACAAATAGGTGTACATAAAGTTTCTTAAAAGAAGGTTTTGTACTTTAGCCTAATACATTATTTTGAAACTACATATGTAGATACAATACAAATACAATTAGCATCAGCATTAGCATTCAGCAAGCATTATAGTTATATGATTAATGAATGCAGAGTTACTTTGTTTTATTTTTATTGTGTTGTGGTCAGGCCACATGAAAATGAAAATTTAAGGTCCACCTGTAATATTTATTCTAAAGATATAGGGCCCTGTGACAAACACACAGAAACACAGACTACGGAGTCATATTTCTAATCTTACCCGTAGATTTGCTGTTTTTACTAGAATGACAATAAAAGCACTCGACTCGGAGACCAGCGACAACGAAGAAATCACAAACACCCTGACGCGGATCGTTAAACGCATTTACAAAACACAACATAGCTGGATCACGCGATATTGACCGTGCGTGGTAGACACTGCATCAGGGGAAGTTTATGGGAAATGTTTTTGCATGACTCCACATATAAGAAGCTTTAACGACTTGAAGGGATTTCCATACTTCACTATTAAAACTATAAGTTCTATAACCTGAGAGATAAACACGACGAATAACTTTATAAGAGATATGGCATAGCGGATATCCCACTCGAATTAGAGCGCCCTTCTGGGGAGGTAACCTCCACCTTACAGAAGATCAGACAGTAAAATAACACCATTGGTGGTGTTGTGTTTCTGTCGGTGAGTAATTTTCAAGGGCTCCACGGGATAGGGTAAAGGGTCAGGGTTAGGGTTGCCCCCATTTTTTTTGTCCAAATAAAGTACATTAGTTATTAAAGGTAGAAAAAAAAAATGTGTCCAAAATAAAGTACTTTTTAGTCAACTTTATTAGTAAGCTTAAAAATATATTTTACGTTGCTTCTAGCAACTTTTAATAAATAATTTGTGGCTAATAAAAATCTGTAGTTCTTTTCCGCAAGAGGAAATGACATGGTACAAAGCCATACAGCCACGAAAACGTTGCAGGAAGAGCATAACATATTCTACATACTGTCGTCGGTCCGTTTAAGGCAAAAATTCTTTCTAAAAACCTCTTTTTCTATGTTTTTTGGAAAATTAATCCGCGAGTAATCAAACCACATTAAATAAAGTATTTTCTCGTACTTTATTGTTGGCATAACGTATAGAGTACAATTACCCGAAATAATGTACAATACTTTATAATAAAGAACGGGCGGCAACTCTAGTCAGGGTAGGCAGCGGCGCAAGTGATATTTTTTGTATCGCGAGCGTTTACAGTATATGGTGGCCGATCATATTATAAGTGTGATTGCTGAAATAGGATTGCCCATCTGGGGAAGTAACCTCTGCCTTACAAAAGATATACACAGTACAATAACAGTACCTAAGACGTGTGTATATGTCGGTGAGTAAGGTTTCAGTGCTCCACGGTAAAATGTTTACATCATTTAGTATTAATAAATACATATAGTTTTTTTTTGTAAACAATTACTGAAAAAAAATACTGGTATTTACTTAAATAATACTGTAATTATTAATAAAAAAAATGGGTGCGTGTACTTATGTAGGCGCGTGAGAAGTTATCCTTCTTTGGCATCGTTTATAATTAGTTTTTAATTGCATGCAAATAATTAATTACAATAAATTAATAAAAAGTCTGGAAAAGGACACAGTCAATAAAGTTCAGTTTTAATTTGAAAAAATAAATAAATAATCAAAATATTCAATTAAAATCGCTACTGAATATAATTTATTAGAACATATGTGATTTGCACTTGTATGAAACTCAAACACGTATTCCGAATATACAAACTAGAAACATGTGGATAAATATTATAAATATGAATACCTATAACTGTTACTTTATTACAAAAAATAAATATGTGGTTTTTGGTTCTACTACACCAATGGTCAAGAGATGGCGCTGTAGTCTCCTGAATCGCGCTTTGGTTCCGTTGTTCCAGATTAATAAATACTTTTGATATTATAAATATGAACTGTAACTGTTACTTTATTACATAAAATAAAGATGTGGTTTTTGGTTCTACTACACCAATGGTCAAGAGATGGCGCTGTAGTCTCCTGAATCGCGCTTTGGTTCCGTTGTTCCAGATTAATAAATACTTTTGATAGGCCTTCACAATGCAGTCGTTAGCACCCACTAAATAGAGATTCTATTTCTATTTTGTTGGTAGATTTTCTTAATGTGCGGTAAACACAAAAGTAACGCATGAAGTTGGTCGCTAAAGCGAGCGAGTGATGCGCGCGCATCTTAAAATTTCACTCTCATATTTTTTTCATAACGCGCCTAAAGAAGTATAACTTCAAAAATAAGATATTATTTCTGAAATTAACGTTGAAATAAAAAATAACAACGTTACAACCCTAACTCCATTCCCAACCCCATGTGACCGTACTATGGTACGTCAACCTTTTCAATTCAATTCAATTTATTGCACTCATGTGGTTACATAGATGGTAACAAGTTATAAAATGCATAAAGTACCTAACGTGAACCATGTCAGGGTATCGCAATATAGTAGTGTCTTACAGATAAAAATTACAAAAGGGCAATTAATTAATAAACAATTAATTATCTATATGAAGAACCTAATTTGTATTAAACAACTTTATTTCTCAAATCATGCATAAATGTCACCTGATTTCATTAATTTATAATATAACTTACTCAATTAATCTTATTTACTACAGTAGTAGGTTAAGTTTTTGCCTGCGAGTTCTTGCATTTGGCTCGCAATTCCCTCAATGTTTATTTGAATAAATGTTATTCTAGACTTAATTTAATTTCTTTACTCACTTGATTCCTGGACGTTGATTACAAATCGCGTAAAATGACGAAATGGGTAGGTAATTTTTGTGTCGCGTGCCACGACACAGCTCTTGAAATTGCGTTACATTTACGTAAATGCCAAAGTTGCAAATGACTCAACTTTCGACTGAGTCAAAGATTTGATGATTCGGAAGTCAGCATAATGCATCTACAGTGAAGCACTAGTAGATGGTTACAATAAGAACCGATATTAATTAGCAATTTGAGCGATTATCAACCATTGATGACCTACGTATGGTGGAACTCCGATGCGATGCTCCTGGGTTCGAATACCGATGGGGCAAAGAATGGTATGTTAAAAACTAGAGTTTTTACCTCTGTCATGGCTGTTTTATTTTTATATCTACTATAATAAACTTATCTATAAATATAATATAATATAAAAATTATCGAAGCGATGGCGCAGGGTGGTCAGCACGTTCGGTATGCAATCGTGGAGTTAAGCAACTTTCGCAATGGCCAGTCATTGGATGGGTGACGAAAAATTTATTATCTCGAGATCCTCCGTGCTTCGGAAGGCACGTTAAGTCGTTGGTCTCGGTATTTGCGGTCGTTAATACTCACTCATCCGCACTGGGCTCGTGTGGTGGGTCAAGCCCGCACTCCCTATCGTAGGGAAGGCCTGTGCACCAGCAGCGGGGATATTAGCGGGGGGCGATGATGAAACCTATCTTTTAACAGTTAATACTATCTTATTAACA